AAAAGGCTTGTGATATTTCTGTTGATTTGTAATGAATCCAGAATGTATGACATTTCATGATTTTTAATTGCATTACAGAAAATAAAGAACTTTATCACAATATTGTAATTTTCTGAGACAGTCCTGTATTTGGAGCGTTTTGTGCTGGCGTAGGAATTCCCTGTTCACAATAACGCAGCAGAAATAGGAGTAGGCGTATAATAAATACTTGTGCAGATACAAATAAAGCAGCCATGATTTGTCTTGGTAACGAGTCTTAGTGAAGCATTTGGAAACGGTTGGAGGCCCCATTTGGACAAAAACCTGCACTTAGTCTGATGAACACGCTCTCATTTATCCACACTGATGAAGCTGTTTATGAGCTAAACCCCTTTTTCTCTTTATCCTCTCCTCTTTTTAACAGGAAAAGGTGCATGTAAAGATACCCCAGAAACTCAGTTTATTTTGCTTTTAATCTTTTTTCCTCATTAGTCATGCTTTTTGTTTTCTTTGGGTAAGACAATAATAATCCACAAGAATGTTTTACCTTGTTGACATGTTTCCCAAAGAAAACAAAAGGCATTAATAACACAGACGAAGACAAGAAGAACTGAATACAATTTTTTTCCTCATTGTTTATTAATCTATTTCACTATCTACTTGTGTTAATTGTTCTTTTGTGTCTTGTAAACACTCAGAAATTGTTGTCTAATTGAATATTGGTGACCAGGAAATTGTTGAAGGTTACACTGTACTGACACATTGCGCTTATATTTTTGGACTTTTATTTAATTCTCTGTTCAATAAGTGGATTTTTCACACTGAACACACATTAGAGTTTTACATTTACATAAATGCATTTGCTAAAATAACTTAAACCACTGATGTCCTAATTAAATGTTCTTTCTGTAGTCTGGCCTCCTAAAAGAATTTTGGAAATGTGCTTTTATCATCTTGTCATTTATCTAATGAATACATCTCACTAAGCAGACTTAGTTGTGAAAGATATAATCTCCACATGATTATTTTTTCTTATAATACATTTCAATTTGAACACGATTGTAGGACCCTTCATTTATGTGTCATCATTTCTCTTTTAGATGCATCAAATAATGTGGAACATTTGCATACAAAAAGCAGCTAATTTCCACATTTTGGTTCTGAATAATGAGTATCTAGATATAAATAGATTTTTCTCTTCGCATTATGGTATTTATTTATTTTTTTTAACAAATGTTTTATTATTTTTTCAGAAATAATACAATGTGGTTTCTCTCTGCATTATAGTATTTATTTATTTATTTTTAACAAATTTTTTATTATTT